ATTGCACCGCCCTTGCCTTCTCTCATCTACCTCCAGCCCCTTCAGCCCTCAAGCCCGGCCAGCCTGCGCCGTGAACGCTTTGTTCTCACATATCAAGGCTGGAATAAGTTTTTCAATCAGCAAATTGCGGCATCGCTCAGTCTCGCTGGAGTATTTGAGCCCGACTCGAACATACGAAGATTGGATCCTTTCAGGATTTCGCCCATCTCAATAAACTTGCTGGCAACTGTTAGTGGAAGCGCCGACATGCCCTCGAACGGGTTCGGTCGCGAATCTGTGTCCACCATGGACCGATCCGGTGGCTCTAGCAATGGACACGGCAGCAACGCCCATGCGTCAGGTTCCGCAAATGTCACTGGAAACAATTACAATCAATACCTGGCTGATGGGAGCGTCGCGCCGCGCTTGCAGCGACGAGCGGGTAAGGATTGGCTACCATATCAGGGAGAGAGACAGCTGATCATCAGTATCGATCTGGGTGAGTGACTGGCCTTCGCAGCGCATCGAGTACTTGATCCGATTTCGGTAACGGCGCATGCTATGCGAATGTGAACCGAGTGCTTGGGATGAGTTCTTCTTCATAAGCAGCCAGTCATAGGCAGCCAGAAGAGCGCTCAACTGACCATCAGCGGCTTTTCGAAACAGGCACAACATACTCCGGCGCGTCTTACTGCATTCTTGAGCCTGGGAAGAAACCTCGTATCGAGGATTGCCGCGCTTACCCTGGCCAGGCCAGTGGTCTGTGTGAGTAGCAGGGTCTGGCTGCTGAAGCCAAATTGTGGGGGCTGGAGAGTGCTTCAGAGGCCACGGGGCAGCCCTCGCTTGCAATGACTGAACTTGTCTGCGCCACACTGCGTTTGCTCTACTACAGCAAAGGTGCCATCCGTTGTCACATACGACGCAGAAGGCAACGCCAGGTTCTTTGGTGCTGAAGCAGAGGGCCCTGAAGCAGATGTAGTTCTGGACGAAGGTGGTTCGCAGATCCGCTGGTGGAAGGTAAGTGCAAATTTTGGCAGAGAGGACGCAGTGAAGCGCCAAAAGGGAGGTGATTGCTTAACAGAGCTGACACCGTGCTTGGCACTCCTCTCGTGCACACGTCTTCCTTTGCGCATATCAGCTGCACCTCAAGCCTGCACATTTGCACGTCATTCTCGCGGGGGACTCCAATGAGACGACGGATCAGCTGGACTTGGATCCACTGCCCCCTGGTGTCACTGCCGAGCAAGTGTGCTCCACTTTTTTGGCATACATCATTCGTTGCGTAGTGAGCATGCCTGCAAAGCTTCCTCCTCATGTGTCAGCATTGATCTCGAATATCTTTCTAGGGAGCATACATCTTCTCTCGT